CTGTGGTTCATGGGGTCGCAGAGTCAGACACGACTGAGCAACTGAACTGAACTGCACTGAACTGAAGCATTGGGTATATAGAGGCACAAATGAGGTTACAATTCAATACTGGAGAAATATTGATTTGAACACATGACTTTAAAACTGCAATATGGGAGGGCATGAAAAGGCAAGAGGAACTGAAATGAGGATGAAAAGGAAGGACTGAACCACCAGATCCATGTCTTATGCCACCCAAATGCAATCAGCAGTTAACTCCTCCCTGGCTAAACAATTTTGTGACTATACATTTTCCAATCCAGGTAACTTGCGTTGTATTATGTTCAACTAACATTTTCCTGCGCACTGACAAATTTGGGTAAGCGGAGGCTATGGGCAAGGTAGGAACGTCAAATGCAAGAGCCTTGTTATTTTATCTGTAGTTCTAACTAGAAACCAATGTGTGTTGGGGGTGCGGAGGGCGAGGGGGGGAAAAAAGCCAATGTCTAGCAAGTCTTTTCCAGATAAACTTTAATAATCGTTACAATCGCCATCTCTCTTGATTCAGCTATTAGAAATTACCAGTTGTGGCCTGTAAATCAAGAATCCCGCCCCCCCCCCCCAATCATCTCAACCATTCCCTTAAGTGTTAACAACAGTATATTGTTAAGTAGTGAGCCTGAAACAGTCAGGGAGGTCTAGCCGGCAGTTCTCAGTGAGACAGTCAGGCGTGAATCGTGAACTCACTAAAACCCTCAGATTGGTCAAACAACTGGGGTTTCCGTGGGAACGAGGTAAAAGGCAGCTTGTGAGAGAACAAAGGCTGCGCGAACCAGGCAAGGCCCTCCCGGCCCGCTGGCCTCACTGGGGGCGGGGGAGGCGGCGGCGGTGCGCCCGGGTGGCTGGCTCCCGGGTCGGTGACCCACGCCGCCGCGGCGCTGGCGCGCCTCTCTGGAACCCCCCACCAACCACCACCAACACCACGCCTCCACCAGGCCGAGGCACAGGAGGACGCCGCCGACTGGAGACTCCTGAGAAGGAACGGGCGCGGGGGATGAAGCCGGGCCGCCGCCTGAGTCAGTGAGCAAGCGACCTGTGAATCACACTGCAGGCCGTCACCAGACAGGACCGGGATCACGCGGCTCCCGGGGCCTGCTGAAGCCGCCTAGAAGGGAGCACGCCGGACGGGAGGGGCGCCTGGGACAGAGCGCGACGTCCCCTGCCGTTCCTGTCTCTGAGAGGCCGCCTTCCCGGCCAGGCCCCGCCCCTCGCGCTTATGTAATAGGGGCGCGCTGCCATTGGCCTGCGAAACCGGAAGAGGCGCAGGCGCGCGTGCGGGTGGGGAGGTAGGGAGGCGGGGCGGGAGGCCGGGGCAGGAAGGCGAGTGGGCGGGGGCTGCGCGGAACAGGCGGCGCTGGGGCGACTGGGAGAAGTGCGCGGCGTGCGCGAGCACGAGGCGTAGTGGCCTCCCTCAAGGCAGAGGCGGCGGGCGCGCGCGCGGTGGCGGCGGCGGCGGCGGCGGGTGCGAGGCGCGGGCTGTTGTGCTGCCGGCTCTCGCTTTTCCCCTCCTCGGCGGGTGGAGGAGGCTGAAGCGGTGCTGGGCGCGCTCCCCTTCCTCTCCCTCCGGCCACCTCCCCCCGCAAGCCCTCTCGCGCTGCGCGGTCTCTCCGACGCAAGACTGTCCCGGCCCGGGTGAGCGGCTGTGGGGGCGGCGCTGACGCCGCAGGACGCCCGGGAGCCGGGGTGGGGGGCCTGCCGGCTGGGTCGGCGGGGGCCGTGAGGAGGCGGGCAGGTCAGCGCGGGTCGCGAGGGGCCGCCGGCCTGCCCCGCCTCCTTGAGGGGCCGCCGAGCCTGCCCTGTCCCGGCGCGGGCCGCCGGGAAGGAGGGGAATCTCGGGCGCCCGCCAGGCCCTGCAGGTGGCCGGCTCGCAGGCCGGCCGCAGCGGCGGCGGAGCGGTAGCCTTATTCGCTGGCGGCAGCAGCTGGTCGGTTTCCCTCAGCTGGGGCTCCGGGTGGCCGAAGGGGCCGGGTTTCGGGCAACGGAGGCCCCCGGGAGGCGCGTCTCGGGCCAGGGTCCGTGAGGAGGGGCCGGTAGGTAGGGGTTTCGGTGGCCGAAAAAGAGGAGGAATTCTCTCCCAGGCGGGAGAGGCCGGTCTGGGAAGGAAGGTGTGCCGAGCTTAACAGCCGAGCTCAGCGAAGTGCTGGGTAAGATAGACCTAACTGCCGGCCCTTTCATCCTCCCTCCTCTCTGAAAGGGACTTAGTTCATTAAAAAAGCCAGAGTCAAGTTGTTGTTCACTGCCCGGGCCTCTTCATTTTCAGATACTTAATGGAAAATGATCCTACTTCCTGGATTCAAAAATGTTTTCTCTTACTCGTTTGTTTTGGTTTTAGGAGGCTCTTTGGGGTCAAGGCTTATATTCGGTACCTCCTGTAAGAGCCCCTCATATTGGAAGAACTCGTTATTCGCTTTACTTACTTCCCTCTTTACAGCCCCCCTCGGAAGACCATACAAAATAAAGTTATAAGCCAGCTTCTAGGTATTTGTAAATGACTTCTTGCCCCTCAGTTCACTGCATTTAATCAAAGAGAAGTTATGCTTAGTTACGCTTAAGATATTGTAGAAAACTCAGTTGGCTTGCGAGCAAGCCCTGAGTTGAGCTGTCCAAAAGCAGGTGGTTTGTTCGTTTGCATTTCTGCTTTCAGAAAGGAAATCAATGCGAGCGTGTCGCTAGAACTTAGGGGCCTGTCTTACGCATTTAGACTGATTTCAATTTCCTTTACCTCGTGTTTTCTGTTTTAAAAATAAGAACAGCAACCACAATCTTTTCTTTATTGAAGCTGTTATGGTTTTTTTGTTACTTTTGTGAGATGACAGTGAGAATGGGAAAATGTATTGTTAATATTGTATTTTATCAGCAATGGTAACTGCAAAAGTTGCTTTTTTCAGATCAGTGCATGACTATTTTAGCAGAATAGCTAATAACGTTTAGATATCAAAGAAACTTCTAGAATTAGTAGCTTACCATTTTATAAGGTTTTTTCCCCCAGTGTAAAACAGTTAAGAGGTTACATATATAATCTGTGTATTAACATACATAGCATACATCATGTGGAAGACTTCAGATCCATGTGAAGCCTGAAGTATTCTGACTTAAGGTAGTGATGCTAAGGCATTGAGATACTAAGAATGTTATAAACATTGAGATGTCATAAAGATTGAATACCTATCATTCAGATAATGCAGAAGTGTCCAAATCTGTTTCCATGGGAATAGGTTTGTAAACTTGCCATAAATATACTTTTTAAAAAAGCATTTCATTTGACTTGGAATTAATAAGGATTTGGTTTTTTTTTTTTTTAATAACAAAAATGGAAGTTTAGCCTTCAGTGGCTAACACATCCGATTGTATATACCATTATTTGATGGGAATGGGGTTCTTATATTAGGCTAGCCATACTGAAAAATTTTGTAATTTGTTGAAATGATAAGCTGGCTTCCTAGAAAAGGATTGACCTTCCTTTGTATTTTCACTTTTAGGTTCGATGTTTAATGCTAGTGGGAACTTGTCCTATAGATGTGCTTTTTGTTGTTGTTCCCCATTTTCTTTTTGGGAGTAACTGGGGTGTTTCAGTGACTGTTTTGACCTCTTATCTAGTTAAGGTTCCAGTGAGAACAAGCTAACACTCTTTCCTGGTGAAGTTAATAGATGTATTATGTGTTCATGTCCTGAAATGACTTAAAAGTTTAAAATTTAATTGCAGTGCTAGTCAAAACTACCCATAGGGATTCTACTTAAATCCTATTTTAAAGATCCTATTTTGAAGTATTTAAAAACCAGCTCCAACTCATTATACACCTTTTATGAACAGATTGTTGTCTTAAAGAAATCTTTAACTTTATTGAAAAAATAAAAATTTTTCCCCCAGTTTTTAACCCATATTAATTTCAGATTGCCAGTAGTAAAAAGGGGTATCTTTCATTTTTGTGAAGGTACCCTTAATGTTAATGGATATGTATTTGAGCAAGTGCTGGGAGATGGTGAAGGACAGGGAGGCCTGGCGAGCTGCGGTCCACGGGGTCGCAGAGACGGACATGACTGAGCAACTGAACAACAGCAACCCTTAATCTCACTTAATAATTTGTCCAGCAGTCATATGAAGGGCAGTTTTTTTTTTTTTAAGAAAGAATAGCACAGTAATTTTATGAAACCTAAGTATTCAAGAGGATGGTTCCCACTGCTCTTGTGAACTTCTTTAGAGGCACTGGATGACAGCTTTCATTTCTCTTAAAGTTGTAAGAATCTCAGGTCAAAGGGGAAAGTACTTTTGCAAAGTGATTAAGTGATTGAGGAAGGGTCTAAACTGTCTTAGGTAAACTTTTGAAGATTACATACAGGAAAGTGTACAATTCTTAGGTGTATAGTTCAGTGAATTTTTACAAGTGAACGCTTGTATAACCATTACCTGAATCAAGACACAGAACATTATTGGCACCCAAAAAATCTCCCTCATGTCCTTTTTTCCCATTGTTACTTCCTGGATTAGTTTTGACGGGTTTTAAACTTTATACAACACAGGTTCTTTGTCTCTGGCTTCTTTTCCTTTAACACTGAGATAAAACCATGTTGTTGCTTGTAATCATAGTTCTTCCCTTTGAGTGCTGCATAGTAGTCCATTATAGAAGTCTGCCACAATTATGTATCTACTTTACTATTAATAAGCATTTGGATTCTTTCCAGTTTTGGAAACAGGTGCACTGAGCATTCTTGAACTGTACCTTTTGCTGTACAAAAATATATTTGCATTTCTATTAATATATACTAAGAGTAGAATTGTGAGATTATAGTGTAGGTGACTAGTTTTCTACAGTGGTTATAGCAATGTATCCTCTAGTAGCATTATGTGTGAGAATTTGAAAATCCATACATTTTGATTGGTATTTCTGTAAAACAGCTGTCCAGTTCTTGGGGTGTTATCATACTAAGATTTCACTCTAATGTCTGAACTTCTGTTTTCAGATATGGCTCGTGGACAGCAGAAGATTCAGTCTCAGCAGAAAAATGCCAAAAAGCAAGCTGGACAAAAGAAGAAACAAGGACATGACCAGAAGGCTGCTGCCAAAGCTGCCTTAATATATACCTGCACTGTCTGTAGGGTAAGGGGAATTGAAAGACGTAACTTCCTACAGCCATACCACCCTGAATGTGCCCAGTCTTATCTGAAAGACATAGCTCTCTCACGCACAGTTCTTTCATTAGAGATTGGTTTGTATAGGTTAAAATTTTGCAAACATTGCAAGATAAATGCTTTACTTGAAATAGGAGATTTGAGAGGTGGTTGTGTTAGGAACCCATCTTCATTCTTCTATTCAATGATTTTATATATATGTGTGTGTGTGTGTTTTGTCTTTGCCTTGAGGCACATAAGAATCTTAGTTCCCTGACTAGGTTTTGAATCTATGTCCTCCCTAGTAGAGGCACAGAGTCCTCTAACCACTGAACCGCCTTAGCTGCTGCTGCTGCTAAGTCACTTCAGTCATGTCCGACTCTGTGTGACCCCATAGACGGCAGCTCACCAGGCTTCCCCGTCCCTGGGATTCTCCAGGCAAGAGTACTGGAGTGGGTTGCCATTTCCTTCTCCAGCGCATGAAAGTGAAAAGTGAAAGTGAAGTTGCTCAGTCATGTCCGACTCTTAGTGACCCCATGGACTGCAGCCCACCAGTCTTCTCCATCCATGGGATTTTCCAGGCAAGAGCACTGGAGTGGGGTGCCATTGCCTTCTCCGAACTGCCTTAGAACTCCCAACAATTATATTTTTGGAATAGCTCCTCTGGCCAGACACAGTTCTCTTGGTGTTATTGAGAAGGAATGAACAAAGCAAAAACCCTTTCCTCATGGAGAAAAAAGATGTCTTCTTAAGGGCAAATAATATACTTTGAACTTCGTAAGAAAAGTCAGATTTACATTCTTAATTTAGAGCTATATAAGACACCTCTGGTTATATACTTGGCTTTTTTTTTTCCTTTGCTAAATTTGTAGTTATGTCTACAAAACTAGAGTATATCCACGTTGAGGACTTTTACTAGCATTAATGTGTTTTATTATATTGAAGAATAATCATAACAGCTGCTATTGAGTGCTTACGAGGTGCCAGACACTGAGCCACGTGTTTTACATGTATGCGCCCTTTAATCACACAACTCCTCTATGGCATAAAGTCCTTTTATTTTACAGAGGAGTAAATTGAGTCATGGGGAGTTAAATAACTTGTGCTCACCCAGCTAGTATGTTGGAGAGCTGGGATCTGAACCCTGGAGGTCCACCTCTGGAGCCCACCTTCTGGACCACTGTACCACACTGCCATGAAGAAGTTTTTCTTAAATACCAGGCCAGGGTGGTGTTTTTTTTTTTGGCCTGTTTAAGCTCACCACTCTTTTTTTCTCTTCACAGTATTTTTATATTTGGCTGCGAGGGGTCTTTGCTGCTGCTAGTGAACTTTCTCTAGTTGGGGCAACCGGGGGCTACTCGGCAGGCTTCTCATCGTGGTGGCTTTTCTTGTTGGGGAGCACGGGTTCTAGGGCACAGGGGCTTCGGTAGTTGCAGCGCTCAGGCTTAGGAGTTGTGGGTTGCAGGCTCTTGGCGTGTGCATGTTCAGTGCTTGAGATTCATGGGCTCTAGAGCTTGGGCTTAGTTGCTCCACAGCATGTGGAATTTTCCCAGACCAGGGGTTAAACCTGTGTCCCCTGTATTGTCAGGTGGATTCTTACCCACTGTGCCACCAGGCAAGTCCCCTAAGGTCACCACCCTTGAAGTTAGTGAATGAAAGTGCCAAAGGGAAAGTGCATGGTGAGGTGGTTCCAGTTACAACAGACTTTTTTTTCTTCTGTATGTCTGGATAGAATTGGTAGTATGGATGGGAAGTGGCTCAGATGCTCAGTTGTATCTGACTGTTCACGACCCGATGGACTGTAGCCTGCTAGTCCTCTGTGTCCATGAGATTCTGCAGGCAAGAATACTGGAGAGGGGGTGCCATTTCATTCACCAGGGGACTTTCACAACCTGGGATCAAACCCATGTCTGTTACATCTCCTGCATTGACAGGCAGATTCTTTACCACTGGGCCACCTGGGAAGCCCATGGTTGGAAGGGATATTGATAAGACTTGATTGATTCCTGGACTAAAGTTAATCTTTTATTGAATTCATTACCGATGAAAGAATTCCTGACTCCTTAAAAGTTCTCATTAAGAGAAGAAATCTGTTACATTAAATAACTTGTTTTTATTGAGCTTTGATATACACAAAATAATGAGATTGAGCAGGCTTCAGATTCTGTTTGTAAAGAGACAAGGTAAAAGTAAATTTCACTAAATTACTAACGAAAAAATACTTTGACCTAAAAATACTAGCGTATCTCAGAATGAACGCAAAACAACAAAAAATGTTTATTTAATGTTTTATCTAATGTAAGGTACTTAAAGAATAAATAATTGAATGTCCTTACCTAGATAAGTCAGTATAGTGTAGTATTTGAAGTCTGAAGTGCCTAGTACTAAGTTAAACACAGGTACTGGACAAATTAAACTGCAGGTTTTAGTTTCTTTAGCACATAAAATGTGGATAGTAGAAACTGATTTAAGATTACGAGAAGATTCTGTGAAAAGTTTGGTAACAATGCTTAACATAATATGTCCAGTAAATGTTATCTATTGTTTGTTGTTAATCAGGTAATACTCTATGTGACCCATCCCTTTTTATATGTGAAATGTGGGATATGCTATGAGTTTCTTTGCTACAAAATCCTTTCTCATGTGTCAGCCAGTAAGTTAAAGTAGTTTAAAAGTGTTTTGCAATAGTTATTGATCATGAGCAGGCTTAGGATTTTAAAAACACACTTTTATTTCATGAATCAGGTCTAACTCTTCTTTTTTGCACAATTTTTAAAATTAGACACAAATGCCAGACCCTAAGACCTTCAAGCAGCACTTTGAGAGCAAGCATCCTAAGACTCCACTTCCTCCAGAATTAGCTGATGTTCAGGCATAAAGTTGTTTACAGGTAATTGACATTTTCTTTTGCTAATGTCAGGTTGTATACAAGAACAGAACTATCTTCTGTGATTGTAAAATTGATTTCTGTCTTCTAGCTGAGACTTCATTACTGCCCTCTTTTAAGTTAACATTTAACTTTGCAATTGTTAGAAGTCCATTTTCCCAGACCATATCCTTTCAATGCCTTTGAAACATCCAAGTTTTTACCACTGTGGCCAAAAATGGGATGAGGCTGGCCAACTCTGGTCCAAGAATGGAAGAGTTTTCAGCTTAAAGAAAAAAACCATTATAAAGGTATTTGAGGATCTTGCTCCCAGAAATGATGCAGACCATAGTCAGTGAGTGCTTTTTTCTTGGTATTTGACTTAGAGTGCTTAGCAGAGTACATTAAAATATAAGGTAGGATGTAGGCATTCACTATAAACTGGACAGTTACTTGAAAATAATCAGTTTGTACTTTCTGTGTGGTTGGATTTTTTCCTAAATGGTGGTGATGGTATATGTATGAGAATTATTTCTTTTTATATTCATCAAAGATCTGTTTGTCAACTAAGTTTGACAGATCTGTCAGGGTAACTTCATAGCTTAGGCATGTTTTGCTTTTTTAAAAGACACTTGAAATACATATAAATCATATTTATGTAATGCTTACATTCACTGACCATCTTATGTTTTGTAGGTGAATACGTGACACCTTTGATTCTTCTACTGTCTCAGACCTTAGGTAACAAACCTGCAGCTGCTTTTCTAACAAACTGTTGATCAGCAAAAATAAAGGGGCTACAGAAACACTCATTTTTATGCTGTTCCCTTTTGGGCTTCATGCAAAGACAATTGTGTGTAAATGTACAGTTGACTCTGATTTGGAAATCTGAAAATCAGTCCATCCTTGTTATAAAAAATTTTTTTACAATTGTAATTATATTGATGTTCATATTGTGTAAAATAACTCATTTAATAAAGTAGTACTTTGATTTTACAACATCACAGGATAAATGATTTTAGAAATTCTGTTCTTTCTACATTATTTGCCTTATAAAAATCTAATTAATTCATCAGCTGAAAGTGCAAGCGCAGTTCTTAGGTCCTTTTCTCAGTTCAGGGGCAGGTTCATAGTTAAACCAGAGCAGACTCATTCACTAATTTGTGCACAGGATTTTATTGGCAGTTGCTGACCTAGGTGAAGAATGACTTAACCTGCTGCCTTAGTATATTGCAATCGTGTCATTTTTCCCTCTTCCTGTGATTGAGGTTGGACTATTTCAGCTTGCTGTGTGACATGGTTATATCTGCCAGCCAGGTATAGCCTGTAGATAACTGATATATTCTTCAGATTGGTAGGATTGTCAGTGAGCCATCCTGAAAAATTATGTTCTAAAGTATATGCCACAATGAAATAAGCAGCCTGTTGTATAATATAAAATATGATGGAACATATGTGAACTGGTAAAGCGCTTTTATAAATTATACTTGATTCTTTGAAAATTGTTTAAGTTCTTTGATTTGAAATTGAAGTTCGTAATTTTGGAAGGGGTTTTTGGAAGTTAATAATAACTTGGCCAATTTATGAATGGATTTTGCAGTAACGGAAGGATTGGAATGACTTGTGGCTGGGTTAATTCCCAGAACCGTCTCCTTTCTTTCCTTTTTAAGTGAATAGTTGATTTTAGGAGTTTACTTTGTTCTGGTTCCTAAAATCAAAGACTGTGTATAGTATGACTTGCATGTGAACTAGAAAAGTACTAAAATAGGCCAATATCCATATTTTTTTTTTTTTTTTGACTCTTAAGGATGGGGAAGTGGGTTGGTTGGGATGAATGCGGTAAATCCTACCCAATTAAAAAGACTAATTTTAGATTTCTTCTAATTTGCTTTTGCCAACTGTTAATACTAAGTAAAACCACTGTAACTCAGTTTAAATTTTAAAGTTGATTTAATAGGAAGAACATGCAAATATTTACTGGTATTGCTTAGAGCCACAAATCTGATCCTGTGGATTGATTACAAAATGCATTCCCTCTTTCTGCTGTAACTCATCACTGCATTTGTTTTATAGCTGTGCATTTTCTTTCTGCCCACCTTGTTTGTCTTCAGTGTAAGTTTAAAATAAGGTATTTCCAAGGAAAAGCTTCAGTGGTGATAGTTTCTTAGCAACTCCTATTCTTATACTCTTACTTTAAAATAGTAATTTTTTCCATGTACTTAATTTCCTCAGTTTCAGGTTTATTATCTGTTAATTCCAAATATGTTGGTTACCAGAACATTAGAATTTGCCTAATTGCTTACAGTGGGTATTACAGAAGTTATGGTTAAATTACAATTTAAAAGTTTTTTAAAGTGCTTTGAGCATATGTATGTTTATGTTAGTAACGGATCATTTACAAACCTTTTACAAGTTTTGGTTTTTTTTTTTTTTTTTTGCTTTATTGACTGTAATTCAGAATAAAAGCTTTATGTTCTTGTGTTTAACCCTTTTTTATAAGCAGCTGAAGACACCATATTTAACTAGACCTCAGTGATAGGGAAATGGCTCCACTGATGTTGAATAAGACATTCTTATACTTCATGTGAGGGTTATTAGTGCAGTCCCCTTTTTTTGTGTTTGGCTTAAATCTACTAGCAGGGGAAAATTTTAAACATCTTCATTATTTAATTTGAAGATTCTTGAACAGATGACAGCTTAGTTCATTGTAAAACTCTTATGGTGTCTTTGAAGACTTGATAAAATACACAGAATTGCTCCTGTTGTATTCTGTATTACCATTAGTTGCCAAAAGGAATGGGGTTAACGTTAGACTTGTTTCCATTCTCTTTCTTATGGATCTGCATCCCCGTGTTTAACTGACACATTGGGGGCTCAGTTGTGTGCTGTAATGTCTTATTAAAGAAGATATTAAAACTAAACTAGTCTAATTTCTTCTACATTTTAGGAAGTTTTTATATTGCCTCTTCCCAGTTAAAAAAAATTTCTTTTCAATTCAGAATTGTCTCTTGAGTGTAGAATTGGTAGTTCTAAGGCTGACAGATTTCTTTCATTTCTCAGTGTTTTCCCTTTATCTATTTGGGATCTGTAGGATACTTAAGAAAAAAACCCTTGTTTAGAACCTAGCTATATTAGTGGAGGAAATAATCGACTATTAATATAAAAATAATACTTAAAAAATGCATAGATCAGTTAATTAAATTGGATAAGTCCTTAAAGACATTGACTCAGATTTGAGAGAACACGTGTTGTTTTATATTAAGGTACTGTATACCTGATAATCACATCATAATTAAAACCTGAGATGTGTGTATCATGAATAAGGTAGACTTATAAGGTAGACCAGCATTACTATTTTACCCCTCCAAAACCTTTGTTTTTCATTTTTTAAATATGTGGATTGTACTGTACCTGTTCTAAAATGTGGTTAATATAGAGACCTTTTTCTATAATACAGTGACCCACCCACCACAGTCCAAGCTATTAACTGAAATATATTTAAACCTCTGTTTCTACATTAACTCATTTGTGCTAGAATTTTCATTTTGGGGGCAATTTTTGCTATGGTTTAGTTTTGGTCAGAGAATATACTTTTTAGAATGTATCACAATGAGGATCAACACTAGGGGGTTGTATTTACTGTGACTTTACATTCTGAGATCTTTCAAGCTAGCTTAATTTTATCTGTTAAAGTTTCTGAAAACTCTTTACTCCCAGTGTGAAGATTTAATAAAACATCTATCTATTTGGCTGAGAAAATAGATGTTTTATTAATGAAAGTACAACTTGTCTTTATTAATTGTGGATTACCATATTAAACTGAAAATTAAATGTCTTCTATTTTAAATGCTCTTTGGCCACACTGTTTACTAAGTTACCATCTTTTGGGAGTTTTTTTTAACAATTGTTTAGCTCCAGTTTTTTTTATATAATACAGCTCCAAATTTAAAATCTACTCATAGACAGACTTCAGGCATTTATTTATATCCATAAGGGTATATCGGTATTGTGAAGTAATTCTGTTAAAATCATATTCCTTTCTAGTCATTTTTTAATTTATTCAGTATCATTGTTTCTTACATGATATTAATAATAACAGCTTAGGGTTTGGTAGAAGTATTTCACTTTATCACCACTTGTGTTATAAAATTCAGAATGGGACCTGCATTTTGGACTCTTAATATATTAAAATTTTAATTAGGAAATAGGCCATCATAATATTTCCTCTAACAATTTTAAGTGTTTCTCAAAATGAGATCTATAGCTAAGGTGACCATCTCTGGTTTGCCAGACACACCACTTTGGCTTAAATTTTGATTTTATATTAATTGATTATTTAATATCAGAGTAATTATATGTAATCTACTTCAAAATCTCAATATTGCCTCCTTCACTCATATCAGTTTATAAGGTCAGTGTGTAAGACAACTGAAGTACTTTTTTTGGCCACGCCTCCACAGCTTGTGGCATCTTGGTTACCTGACCAGGCATTGAGCCTGGGCCCACAGTAGTGGAAGCACTGAGTCCTCACCACTGGACCGCCAGGGAACTCCTTGAAGTGCTTTTTGTAAATGTTAAGTTTATTTTATTTTTTAAATGACTATGATACCCAGAAATTCTTACTTGTTAAATGGGAATGTGGGATACTGGCAAGGTTTGTCTTTCAAAGGCTTTGAATCTGTTTTATTTAATTATTTTAATATATCCTACTGAGACTTAAATATCTGGTAAAATTAACTAGCTTTTAAAACTCCGAAATGCCTTTATTCACAGATATTCATATAAACTTGATGTTGTTTGTACCATATTATTCAGACTTTTGACTCCTGCTCATCTTTTATTCAAAGGACTTAGGGGAAATGGCCAGATGGATTAAGCGGTACTGCCTGTTAGTGTAGAACACTTGTGCTGAGGAAGGAAGGGAAGTCTGTAGCATTGGCTACAAGTCAGACATCCTCTGGGCTAAACATATTGAAAACTTCCGATTTTGATATAGGATGCTTCTACATGTT